GGGAGTCAAATTATACGCTTATGTTCATGTGTGGATAAGGAACCCTCTAACTAGTTTTTCATCATTCTATTTTATCAATTTCGTTTTTATAATCTGTTTCCAAGTTTCTGTTTTAGTTTAAATTCATCCAAAACCAATCCCCCATTTATTTTAAAGTGTTAGATTAGTTAGAAATACATTTATTTTGTGTTTTTACGTTTTTGAGTCAGTTTCCAAGTGATTTGCAATCCCTCCTAATCCCCGGTCCAGAACGATCCCTACTTATACATATACTACAATTTGACGAAAAGAGGGTTTAATTTGTGTGCGTATAAATCTCGCATCAGACACATAGGTCCCAAATGCTCTTCAATCAGTTTTATTTCCACCTTATACAGAACTCTCGAATACTTTTGTGACGTTACTTTTTGATCATCAAGAAACTGTGTTAACTAATTTTCAAGTTCAACCTTTCTACCTTGGCCTGAGATGACAAAAGAACTGATTAGTCCTTCGGCAAAATTCTTCATTTTCGAATTTGTCAAACTCTCTAACGTTTTGGTCTGCATCGACTTTGTTCGTAATCCTAGATTCATCTCCTAGTACAAAAAGATATTTTAGTCAATCTTGGGTCACTCTTTTGTTCTTCCTATCATTTATGAAGTAGACAGACAGTCCAGATAAACCACCCATACTTAAAGTTTTTAGTTGAGATCATTAGTCCTTGAATCACCCAATTAGCATCCTATCGAACGAATCTTCACCATTCATGATTTAAGATTCCTGAAGTTACCATTCTAACAAATTTCAGTAAATTTTTGGTTCGAGGAAAATCTAATTTCCGTTCGTCAGTTTTCATTAGGCTATCATTCGAGTTGAGCTAGCGTTCTACCATTTCAATTGCTATCACATAATCAAGTTAAGTATCTCTACGTGTTCAAGCATCAGAGTTGTATATTCGATCCAGATATCTTGTACTCTAGATTTAATGGACTTGTTTTGACCTTTTAACTCTTGAGTATTCCTTTAGCATTCTCAACATGGTTTCTCGCTAAATCCATGAGGAATTCGTGATAGATCGACTCGGCTGAATTGTGGGCTCAGTTTCATAGTGGTTTTGACCAAAACGTTAAAGCATAATCTTCTCACAAGCTTATCAGATTTAACAGTAAGAGTTCCAAGTGGCAAGACGGTGTTTTGGCACTCTTAGGAACTTCTCACTCGCTTACCGAGACATCAATGAGTTATCGGCGTTTCAGGTTACAGATTGTAATATCGATGGCTTATTTATTTGGTTCGTTAAGCAAGTGGGCAAGTCGGCTCATCTACGACAGTAGTTATTGATTAGCTATGGTTTGGACTTGATTCGTGACACCTACACTCATTCTTGGAATACATGACGGTTCGAATGCAAGGGCAAAACTCATTTTCATTTTCAGTTTTAATTTTTAGTGAAAATATTTTAAATTACATTATTATAGTATTTATGTATTTTTCACGTTATAAATATTTGGGTAGTCATTTCCACTTTCGATTTTAAACTCAGTACAAGTATTTGAATCTTATGTTTTTATATATTTATTTTTGTCGTTGTCTTATTTTACGTATATATATTTTTGACTTTATGTTCTTACATAATAATATGTATTTTCAACGTTATGTCTTTATATAAGTATTATACTATACTCTATTATTTGAGGAAAGAAGAAGGTATGAGCTTGGAGGCAAGAAAGAGGAATCAATGCAATCCGATCGCGACGTAATGACATTCTCTTTTATACAACTGCTCTAACTTGATTTCTTCCTTGTGTGTGTGTGTGTGTGTGTGTGTGTGTGTGTATACATATTTTCTCCCTATTTTCAAGTATTTTACATATAGCAAGTTTTTTCAAATTTTAGGGACGAAAATTTCTTAGGAGGGTAGATTGTACCAACCTGTTTTAAAAATGGTGTCTAAAATTGTAAAAATATCCATGTGTTGGGTTTGTAACCAGGCCCACTGTTTTCTTCCTCCTCCCGTGATATCTCTCTCACTCTAGAGCACTCTCTATTTCTCTTCTCTGCACCGAAGGCCACAGATCACCACCATCCTAAACCTCCGTGTAAATATGGCCTCTAAACCCTTAAATTAAGCATATTCGTGGCTTGGGAAATTGAATGGTGGTGCTGCATGTCCAGTTTGACGACGGAATGAAGTTGAACAAGGAGCTTCAGAGTCCTCGCCGAATTCAGGGAAGAGCTCAGCCTTCCAGTCTTTGTTTTGGCTCAAGATTACCTCTATAATGTCTCGGGTATCATCCTCAAGCCTTGCATGTTCAAATCGACTTGAAATCCAAGGTCTAACACCCTTGTAATTTTTTGTTCTTCAACCGTTGCATTTACTAGTCCCTTCCGGCAGAACTCCGACGAGTTTGTGATCTATGTTTTTCTGTGCTTAGCTAGTGGGTTATCATACAACACATACACATAACACGAGTATTTAGACGTCTATGGTCATAGGACACAGTTGAGGATATTTATGTCATACCCCCAACTTCACTGGTGAAACCAGTGTCGGATAGCTTCATTAGCCACGGCTAGTGTCGGTGAGTTATGTATATATGGATATATTTCTTCTCTGGTGCAACCCAGAGTCATACAGCTTCACCTTCGGGTGATGGGGCCTACCATGTTTCTTCACTAGCGTAACCGAGTGTCGTACATCTTCACCTTCAGGTGATAGAGAGGTTATGCCTTCGGGCGACTATGATACCCCTAGTGAGTACATAATGGATGCGATATACAGATGTTTTACGGATTTGCCTTTAGGTGGCTATACTAACATCTTTGAGCACTAGTTTATGTATACGAGTTTTACAAACGTTTTCCATGGCATGTTAGTGTTTTCAAAAAAACCTATATGTAGTATTATATATGTGTTTTCAAAACAGAGGGTTATTATGTTTAGAGAGGAAAATGGTTTTTCCTATTATTTGTATTATTAATATAAATTATGGTCCACTCACCCTTTGGTTTTTGCGCCCCCTCAAGAGTTAGCAGCGAGACATTCGATCCCGGCGTAAGGGCATTTCCGCATAGGTATTCTTGAGTCTTCTTAGTGTAGATCTCATTTCTTTGTTTGGATCTTTAGTGTTTTTCTTGGTTAGTTGTATGCTCTGAACACGATTCGGCATCGATGTTGTTCTTTTTATTGATATATTTTTATTTGTAAGCATGTTTAAAATGGTTTCGTCACCCTCGGGTTTCGGCCATCACATGTACCCCCTGGTATTTGGGGATATCAGGATTGTGGCATGTCAAATGAAGGAGACGATGCGAGAACGCTGTTGTTTTTGGTGACCTCGGGTTGGGCTTGGTAACAGATCAGTGGCTTAGCTACCTGGTACGCTCGGTTTTGCAACTCAGCGCGAACGCGTGGCTCCAGCGACTAGCTCGACGTGGATGAAGCCCAGCAACGCTAGCTTCGATTATTGGGTCAAAAAGCAAAAACTAAACAAGGCTAGCTTCTGTTGAGATGGGTCGAGGCATGGATTTAGGCTGCTGGCCCAATCGTGTGGAACCCAAGCATATGGGTCCAACAACAGTAAAAAACCCAGGCCGTGGCCTAGCCAAAAAATTTCCCATAAATTTTAAATTTTTTTTCAAAATTTCTAGGGTTTGAAAAACCCTAATTGCTTCTATTTTTTTTTTCGATTCTTTGACTCACAAATTCCACATAGCAAAAATTGTGTGATGCATGAAGCGTGTATATATATATATATATAGGGAGTTTTAACAAAACGCACGCGATACTGTTCACTTTAACGAAAACCACATTTTTACACTAAAAAGTCAATCTTGGTACTATTCACTTTACCATTTATTTTGTCATTATCATTAAAACTCAAAGTTTTCAAGCCATTTTTATTAGTTTTCCTATATATATATATATATATATCGGAAGGAAAATATAAATGTAGGGGGTTCATACATCATGGGGAATGTTTTCATGCTTCATGGTCGTTTCAAATATCTTCCTTTATTTTAAGCGTACCTGATTGGCAGAAAACAAGCCTTTGAATTTTGTAGAAGGTCCTTCTCGGAAAGTCGGAATTGCATCTCCAATGTGTTGTATCACGTTCAACACAGAAAAATTAAATTGAATCAATAACATGTATATCAATTCAATAAAATAATAAATTAATCATAAAAAGAATGATTAAAATGTAATACTTCCCTGATTGAAGATCAAACTTTTTTTAACGCAACGTCAAGAGACTGATGATAACGTGTTATAGGCATAATTTATTGAACAATTACGGAGGCGAGAGAAAGGGGGTGCGGTACATAAAGAGAGAAGAAAGAGATGTGTAATTGTGAGGTATGTTCTATTCCACCTCATTGTGGATTTATTTATAGTAGTAGGGAAAATTAATTCCTTACCCTAAGAGAATTACAACTCTAATAGGATAATATACAGTCTTAGAGATTTGATAGAATTCCATAAGCATATCCTAGATATGTTATGATTTACACAATCACATTCCTAATCTAATAAGACTGCATCATTTTTGAATTTAATCCTAAATTTTATGGCTTAAAAATTTAAGTTTTAACCTAATGGTTGAGGATGGTTTAAGAAATTAAGAGTGGTTAAGTAAAAGTTACAAATTTTTATTAAGAACGTGGGATAAATTGTTTTTAAATTTTTAAAAATCTGCATAATTGGAACTTAAGGAAAAGTGGTGGGGAAGCTCAAGTCAAAGTGATTCACTCTTTCCCTCTCTCTGTTCAAATTTGGCCCCAAAAAGAAGTTTTCCCTCCTTTTCCTAAACCCAAAAAATATTTTTGACACACCTTTTAGCTTTTTCCTCTCTTTCCCAACCGGCTCTTCAAATTTCAAAATCCCAAAAATAATGCATTTTTGTTCATTATTCTAGTTACAACCGTTAGTATGAATTTAAATTTTAAGATTTATGTTTATGATTTTAAAATTTAAATTCATCTAACGATAATAAATATAATGTTGAGTATTACCATTATTTGATAGTGGTGAATAAAAATATTTCCATTCGAAAAAAATGAAAAGACAAAAATTCTAAAAAAATAAAAAAAGCAAATCCCCATTTCCCTCCTAATTCGTGGAGCCAAAACCCAATTTCCAATTTCACTCAATTTTCATTTTTCTGTAAATCCCACCTCTTCATCTCTTCAGAGTCATCAATGGAAGAAATCCCTCTCTCAGAAAACAACTCTTCGCCTTCTGATTCACCTCTTCCAAACACCCAACTGAGAATTTCATCTTCTCCAGCTTCAATGGCAGAAACCCTCGATAGGTCTCCGCCATTTTCCCAACCTGACGCCATGGACGGCCTTGCTTTGGCTTCTATGCCCAAAAATGCAGATGGGTCTTCGCCTCTGAAAGCCCTGGGCGACCCATCGCCGGATTCTTCTTTACCAAACCCTAACGGCTCTTCACCAATTTTTGAACAAGAACAAGGAGAACAAGAAGAAGAAGGTGAACATTCTCTACTGCCTTCGCCTCTCAATCTTGCCGGTAATAATTTATCAAATTGTGAATCGAATTCTTCCGATTCATTGCGATTTTCGTCTTCTTGGTTCTCTCCGTGGACTTCATCGTCTTCTACCAAGGATTCGCTGATTTCTTTACAATCCCAGTATCCCATGGAAAAAACCAAACCCTCTATGGTGGTATGCTCCTTTTTTTTTTTTTTTTTTTTTTTTTTTTGCATCTTTATTAGTGCTTCTTTGCTTACCATTTGTGGATGTGCTTGCTTCAGTGTTTTTTTCGTTTTATTTTGATTTCAGTAATCTTAAGAAGTTGAGATTTGTTGTGGTTTTGGTGTTGCAGAGTGCAGGGCTTGCAAATCTAGGTAACACATGCTTTATGAATGCAATCCTGCAGTGCTTTACACACACTGTGCCGCTCTTGGAGAGTCTTCGTTCTTCCAATCATTCGATGCCCTGTGATTGTAAGACCTTAGTTTCTTTTGCAGTTTTTTCATATTCATTTATTAGTTTCTATTGCCGGTTTATGATGATTTCTTAGTCAAATTTACTGATTTAAATATGAAATTGGGAGTATTCAGGTGGTAGTGAAGGATTCTGCATTCTTTGTGCTCTTCGTGATCACATTGATCTTTCAATAGCTTCTTCAGGAAGAGTTATTTCACCATGGAAACTTGTTGACAATTTGAATCGTATCCTTTCATTCACATGAAATGATATTTATATTGATAAAGATTTTGACTTTATATTTGTAAAATTTGGATTTTCCATTGCACTTTGTAATGTTTATAATTTTACTCGTAGATTTGAAAATGCTTAAGTTATACTCAAGAATTTTCGCATTGGAATGTGATTCTTAACTCCTCATGAAACTAGATATCTCATCTTACTTCCAAAGATACCAGCAAGAAGATGCACATGAGTTTTTGCAGTGTTTTTTAGATAAACTTGAGAGATCTTCTTTGGATTGTATGAAAAAGGATGAGAGTTACTCTGTGCAAGATAAAAACCTTGTGGAAAGGGTTTTTGGTGGTCGTCTCCTAAGCAAAGTATGACTACATGTGACTGCCGTTGTTCTTTGTATTATGGTTAACATTTGATGGGAAACCCAGAAAATCAATTTTCAGTTATAACTTTTATTGATATTTGTATGTATGAATTGCTTTCAGCTCCGATGTTGCAATTGCGGTCACTGTTCTGACACGTATGAACCTCTGATTGATCTGAGTCTGGAGATTGAAGAAGCAGATACACTTCCAAGGGCTCTGGAGTCCTTCACTAAGATAGAAAATATCAATGACTCTGAGACAAAGTTTACATGTGAGAAGTGCAAAGAAGAAGTGTTGGTGGAGAAACAGCTTGTGGTTGTCCAGGCCCCTCAAGTTGCTGCATTTCATCTAAAGAGATTTAAGACTGATGGATCTAATGTTCAGAAGATTGAAAAACATGTAGAGTTTCCTCTGGAGTTGGACTTGAAGCCATACACCAGTGGCAATGACATTGACAGCGATGTGAGTTGCTGCTTATTAGTATATTTACAATGCTGCTTATTAGCTTATTATTCAACCGGAATTCAGTTACGAGAAATGCAAGGTTTGTTAATACATGATAATGATTAAATGATCTTATAATAAAGGTCAGCTGAATGTTATGTGCACAGTTTAGGTACCGTAATTTTAAATGTGTGGTCTCTCAAGCCCTTGGGGTTGGCTCAATTGGTGAGGAAGGGTGGGAGTAATGGGTTAGGATTAGGTTACGTCAAGGGTTTGGTTTCTTCGAATGTTACGAAAATGAAAAAATGGGTGTCGTCCTGGAGTTCTAATTCTCTGTTTTGTTGCAATAGGTGGAATTGAAGTACGAACTTTATGCAATTGTTGAGCATGTTGGGTTCTCATCTACTTCTGGGCATTACTTTTGCTTCATTCGGTCGTCTCCAGATACATGGCATAGGTTGGATGACTCAAGGGTAAATACTTCCTGTATAAATTCTGTAGTGTTCACTATGACTGTTTTACCTGTGTGGCTTTATAATTCTTGGGAATCTGGTGTGTGTGGAGGTGGTTGGGTTGCCATTCATGTCTCTTTCTTTTTGTAGGTCACTAGGGTTCGAGAAGAATTTGTTCTATCACAGGGGGCATACATTCTGTTCTATGCAAGGAAGGGTACTCCCTGGTTTTCGAGTGTAGTGGAAGCACTAAAGCCATGCTTGGATCCAGCTATTATGAGTACATCACCTGTGTCGGTTCTAGAGAATGTTGAGAACATCAGTAATTTATCTCCTAGTGTGAATGATGTTCATTGTCGTGCTGCCAATGAACCCACCAATGCTCGTGAGATGATTACTCTTTCGTTGAGTCCAGTGAGACCTAAAGGAGTTGAGGTCTCTGACACTAGAGGTGCAGCTAGTGGACTTTCTGAACGGATTAACGGATCTAGGCGTGATGCTGGTTGTTCCAAGGAGACTATAGATACTGATGCTGTCATTGATGCTTCGACTCCAGGTCGGGGACGAAACAATTTTGATAAAATGTCACTCAAAACTGAGAATATATGTAGTACATCAACTCTTGTTGGAAGTGGCTGTCATAAAGGGTCTGCTAGAGTTATTCTCCAACCTATGACGCCACCTAGATCTCCAAGTCCAGATTTGGTTTTTGAGTCTCCAGGTAAGAAAATTCAGTCTGATCCAAAAATTTTACTGGCTTCTTCATGAAATTTATGAATGCAACTAACTTAACGAGTTTGAATGGAATTTATCAGAACCAAGTTTTCGTCTTCCACATGATCATGTGAAGTCAGCAGACAACGTGACATGTAAAAGATCATTGAACAATGTTATTCGAATGGATCATTTGAAGTCAGCGGACAATGCGTTGTGTAAAAGAGCTTCGAACAATGTTGTAGATGATGCAGAGAGAACTGAAGCTCTCAGATATCTTTCAAAAAAAAGTCTGACTAAGGGGAGGGCAAGTCAACTCTTAGCTGCCATGGTAGGACCTCAGAGTGGAAGTTCTTTGGACAAGAAACGGAAGAGAGTGGGATCATCGCCGTGCAAAAAGGTCAGCCGTGGTGGCGGCAGCCTTAAAACCAACCACACCATGCGTCCTGTGACAGCTGCATTACGCTGAGTGCGGTTTTTTTGTGGGATATTTTCGCTATGAAGTTCATTTGGTTGATCATTTGCCTTTTAAGCTGTCTAGTTAAGCAACAAATGTAAAGATGGTTTGTTCAAATATTTCATTTGAACAGAAACAAAAAGAAGATTTGATCTTATATTGTAGGTGCAAAATCCTGTAGAGTGTGTTTATCATTATAATTTTTGGCACAGGAGGAAATTCAACCGATGAGGAGATTTTGATTCGGGAGATGATTTTTACTCATTTTAGCTTCTTGCACTCATTTTTATTTTTGGCCATCAAATTAAATAAATAAAATGGAAACAACAAACAAAATTAAACAGATGCGTGAGGGATTAAAAATGGTGTATTTATTATTTCTCTTTTGATTCATATACAGGAATGGCAAAAATAAAATTAATTTGGACTATGTAACATAATCACAATCATTGGGTTTATTTTGATGATTAGGTTAGAAGCCTGGTATAATAATGTAAAAAGAGAATTTGGCAAAGGAATAATTTCCTAGTTAAACTAGTCAATTCGTAGGCCTTTTTTTTTTTTTTTTTTTTTTTTTTAAAAAAAAAAAAAGAAAGAAATGTTATGGGGTGAGATAGTGTGATATCACTAGACCGTAGTACTAAGTAGCTTTTATAGACTAATTAAATACCCTTGACATTTCTTGTCTTTGAGTTAAGGGGCGATTTGGCTCAATCAAATTGGCTAAAAGAAAATAATTGCTGCTTTTTGACAGCCAACTAGTGATGTGAATGAAGGCATAAATAAATTTATACTAGAAATACGTCACATTAATTGTATTAAATACATGTAAGTATTGTAGTAGGGATGGTCGGAAGTCTTAAGCAATTACAATCTAATTGTGAGTCTTATGCAAGAGACCCACAATAAAACCCTAGGTAGGTACATCTAGTTTACACCATCACGCTTAAATACTAATACATAATATTTACAACAAAAATGTGTATTTATCGCGTTGGTTGTTGAATGCATTAGCCGCTGAGGCAGGTGTTTGATGTTCGTCTTTGATTTGGTTCAATAAAATCAATTTACCTTCTGGGAAAAAAAGTTTCGTTTAATAAAAACTTTTTATTTTTAAAAATTGAGTCTATTGCAATAAACTAATGGAGGTTGTTCTTGCTAGTAACTAATAATATGGCCGTGGACTCCTTAATTTGGAATTAATAGAGGTCGGAGATAAGATTTAGGAATGAGCATCTTGACTAATCTTAGGGAAAACCAAAACCCAAAATTGCACAACCGTATACTCCTTTGTCATGAATGCATATTGCCAACGAATCTTTGTTTATGTCGAAGTACGTACCACAACTATGCACACATTCTTGGTTTCATCAAAGCCCTTAGTTTTGGGGTATCCCTTGGAAACAAAGTTTGCATACTATTTAAGGACATGAATTTCTTGTAACAATTCCCTTTTGGGTACCTCCATCTCTCTCTCCGTGCTGAGCATTTTGCACAAGAAGCTTGGCTTAGTAAAGTTTCCAAAGACATTAGCAGGTGATTCAATATGGTTGTTTTCTTCAAAAGAGGAGGGAATAAGCAGAAAATATTACGAAAATCTATTCTCAGCTGGAACAGGAGGGCACTGGAAAACGATCTTATGTTGGAGTCACCAGGGTCGATGAACACTCCGAAACATGTACTCATCGTGATGGATGGGATGAAAGAGTTCAGAACAGAGCCGCTTGAATGGGCACTCGAGAATGTAATCAACGCTGGTTCCACGGTCACTCTTCTTGGTGTCATGCCGTGGCTTAATATCGCCCGTGAGTAGACATACATACATGCTTACAATTAGCTAGCTAGTAGTATGCATGAATTTATAGCGTGCGAATTAGCTCTGAATGCATAGCAATGTTTAGCTCAATTCTAGCTACGTGCATCTATGCCTATTCATTTGGAGAGGATATTTCTTAGTTATGATAGAGGGACCGATGGGATTCACATTAAAATTAGTCCTGCAAAACGGTCAGTTTATGTGTTAATGAACAGTTGAATATCATATGGAACTATAGATGACTAGACATAAAACTCTTTTAATTTTTACCAAGACTTTATATCTCATATTTATGTGAAATGGAATACTTGGGTTCTGGTAATGTACAGTCTCTTCCAAGACATGGTTGGATGTTTGGCCGGTGGGGTTAGAAGAGCTATCATTTTTCAAAGAGACGAACGAGTGGAAGAGTGACATCAAATATCTAAAGCTTCAGAAAGTCGTGGATCTGTGCAACAAATATGGAGTACGTATAACAATCAAGCTATACGTACGGTGCTATAGCAAGTTGTATTATACCAAGTCCCCGTAAACATATGATTGCTTGTGTATCGCATGTTCATGCAGGTTTTTCCACGGAAGAAAGTTATAATGGGTTATCCCTTACGGCTAATGGTTGTTGAGGAAATTACAACCCTTCATGCGACATGGGTGGTTTTTGACAGGTATAAACCATGTAGTAACATCCAAGAATTCGGATTTATTTAGTATACATTTAGTAAATCATTGCAGTGTGTTTGGATGTATTGGTATAGTAAAACTATTGATGTATAATGAAACTATTTATGTATACCCTTGCAATGCAAGTCTGTGTCGTTTAATAGGATGTCTACCAATGCAGGCACCAAAAAAATGACAGAAAATTTTACGCTGGAAAACTTCCCTGTAATATGGTGATGATGAACGAAGATGGGGAGGTTGATATGATTAAAGGTCGGTCGATGATCGAAAATATGGACAGCGCTGTAGAAGAGTCACCAGCCTCTTCACTACCTACTCCGCAGATCCTGATTTCCGACCACTTGAAGGAAATTCTTAAGAAACAAGCCCAAGATCAAGACCCCTAGGAAAAGGATCAAGGTGGGAAGGACCTGAAATAATGAACTAGGAAGGCAGAAACTAAGACAGGATAGAGATGCAATAATAACTACTTGGGGGAGTACCTTGGTCATGTTTTTTTTTTTTTTTTTTTTTTTTTTCCTTCTTTTATTTGTCTTGAGAGTCAAGCTATCAAATTAATCTTTTTATGTTCGGCAAACGTATTACCAAGATATTTTCTGATGGAATATGAATTTGCTATCTATATCATTACCACAGTAGACAGCTTTCGCAACGAATGGAAGTTCGTTGCGTAAAGCAAACTTTTGTCGGCTGAAAATTTACATGATGAAAATTTCGTTGCCCAAACGTCGTTCTGCAAAGGTCGAACATTTGTGCGACACACACAAAAATATCGTCCCGCAAGGATCATTGCGTGACCAAGTATGCATTCGTCGCCCCAAAGATAAAGGGACAAAGACCGTCATCGCTTCAAGTTTAAAACCACAAGAGTGTGTTGTTGCATTGTGTTTATGGCGACGATATATATACTGTAAGCTTGTGAGTGTCAATAAATATGATTTACTAATTTCTCGGCAATCAATTAAGCTAGTCAACGAGTTAATTGATATTGAGGAAATCTAGGAATCTTATTTTAATTAAGATTTCGATTCCTTATTCTGTGCAAGTAATTAGAAGGCCTTATTTGGTTAGACAAGATCTCTATACTATTTAGGACTCTAAATGATATCCTATGATTTAACAAATCCCTACTTATCAATAATAGATCGGACTAGTATGGGTCTTAGGGCTTGTTTGCAACTGTGTTGCTTTAAAAAAAAATAAAAAAAATAAAATAAAAAAATAAAAAAATAAAAAAATAAAAAAATAAAAAAAATAAAAAAAGAAAAGAAAAAAAAGCTTGCTAAAACATGAGGAACATCAAATGTGTTTGGTAAAACATAAAAAAAGTGTTTTTTTTTTAAACTTAAAAAACTGTTGTCAATGACAGTAAAAAGCATAGAAAAGCAGAAGCAAGGTCTACTATGCTTCTAAAAACAGTGTTTTTTTTTCTTCCAAAACATAGTAATAAGGGCCCATTTAATGAAATTTTCAAATGACTAGTGTACTCCACATATTTTACAAAATTACAATCATTACCTTTACATTATTTTCTTTGACAATTATTATATCTTTTTTAGTCATTTAATATATCAACAACAATTTATATAAGTTTACAAAGTACTCAGACACTATTTTTTTTTTTTTTGTTAAAAGCACTTTTATTAAAAAAAAAAGAAAAAGAAAAGGTTTACAAAACAACTTTATTTTATAGTAGTTTATTTTCACAACAAAAGCAGTATTTTTGGAAAACACATTAATACCAAATTAGCCCTTATCACTATGTATAAGCAATCTCTACTTTCACAAAAATAAGTTCCATTTATGAGCAAACCCTATTATTGTTGGAACACTTCAGTTTGCTAAAAGTAGAATACTCGCTTGTAGTTTGCATGTCACATCCCGGCCCGGGGCGGATCACTTCCCGGACCCGCTCCACCACCGTAGCACGATATTATCCGCTTTGGGCTTACCATTCCCTCACGGTTTTGTTTTTGGGAACTCACGAGCAACTTCCCAGTGGGTCACCCATCATGGGATTGCTCTAGCCCCCTTCTCGCTTAACTTCGAAGTTCCTACGGAACTCGAAGCCAGTGAGCTCCCAAAAGGCCTCGTGCTAGGTAGGGATGGGAATATACATTTAAGGATCACTCCCCTGGGCGATGTGGGATGTCACAATCCACCCCCCTTAGGGGCCCGACGTCCTCGTCGGCACATTTCCGGCCAGGGATTGGCTCTGATACCAATTTGTCACATCCCGGCCCGGGGCGGATCACTTCCCGGGCCCGCTCCACCACCGTAGCACGAGGCCTTTTGGGAGCTCACTGGCTTCGGGTTCCGTAGGAACTCCGAAGTTAAGCGAAAAGGGGGCTAGAGCAATCCCATGATGGGTGACCCACTGGGAAGTTGCTCGTGAGTTCCCAAAAAGCCTCGTGCTAGGTAGGGATGGGAATATACATTTAAGGATCACTCCCCTGGGCGATGTGGGATGTCACAATCCACCCCCCTTAGGGGCCCTACGTCCTCGTCGGAACATTTCCGGCCAGGGATTGGCTCTGATACCAATTTGTCACATCCCGGCCCGGTGCGGATCACTTCCCGGGCCCACTCCACCACCGTAGCACGATATTGTCCGCTTTGGGCTTACCATTCTCTCACGGTTTTGTTTTTGGGAACTCACGAGCAACTTCCCAGTGGGTCACCCATCATGGGATTGCTCTAGCCCCATTCTCGCTTAACTTCGGAGTTCCTACGGAACCCGAAGCCAGTG